AGCAATGCAATAAAGCTCCAAAGTTTGCCTGTGTGAATATTTTAGTTTTTCACAGCACGAAACTTTGAGAGAATAGATTTTTTCACACCTTTCATGTGGGAGAGGTGGCACTAAAAGACAAAACACACTAAGATGATACGCGGCGGTTCCCTGCTTGTACATTTCCATCCATACCACATATTTTTAGCTCAGCTGTGTACCAAATCATAACATCTATTTTGTGTTTTTGGCAGGCGCCTGTCATGATGTCATCCAGACGCACTTTGACACGCATGGCTGTCACCACTGTGTGCAGATGTGGGCAAATCATTTGTTTTAACCACAAATATGCAGAACCTCATGCAAACTCAGATAGTTCGTTATGAACAAGTACCCACAGAAGCTAATTGTTAGTCCAGAACATGAATTGGAAATATGTAAAATGTGTTAAATACTCTGCTGATCAGAATAAGGTTTAATGCCAATTAGATTTGCAAATGTGTAATTGTCTTTGGTGTAAAATGGTGCAAACTGAAACAGTTAGAGGTATGAGTTTGAAAAAGAAGAAGAACCAAACAATAGAGTAAAAGTAATTTACTATAAAATTACTATAGAAAAGACAATAGTGCAGTGTACCAGAATTGTAAGTGGAAGAGCTGTGAAATAGAGGTAACGTTTAAAAGAAATGTGCAAAGTATACAGTAATATGTGCAAGGTTCACAGTTTTATGGTGTGAAATCAGTGATATAAAGGTCATCTTTCAAGCAAACCCAGCAGTAATTTAAATCATTTTCTTGACAGAAAGGGTCTTAGCAGAAATAAAAACGATGGAAGCGTTTCACAGTCCAGCAAGCGACCACAAGGTCTCCTTTAAATCAAAAAGAAGCCCCTCCTGGCGTTATATATGACGTTGCAGATCCAAGCACTCTGGCTTGTGTCTAGGAAAGACTGATTTGTTTACCTGCAGCTCTTATATGTGTCCTTTAAGTCTTCCTGTACTAAATAACAGACTTAATAACACAAACATCTGTTTCTTTGAGTGTCTCCCTCTCACCTGCAGAAGGTGTGGGTTCTACTCACTGGTGGGGAAAATACTTTATGAAAGGTACAAATACCACAGTCAAAACAAGCCTGGAGATCAAAATGTTACTTAAGTAAAAGTACAGAATCAGCCAAATGTACTAAAGTATCAAAATTAAAAGTACTAATTGTGAAGATTGGCTAATAAAGAGTTGTTTTTGATTTTGGATACTACTATGCTGAGTAAATTAGTATTATATTGATCAAAACGTAAATAGTAACTACATGAGTCAAAGACATGGAGTGGAGTAAAATGTGCAATATTTCTCCCTGTAGTAGAGTATATAAAGAATTATAAAACGGACCAGTCAATCAAGAAATCTGATTGGTTCTTAGCCGTGATATAATGAGCTAGGGCTGTGCGATTATGGCAAAAATCATAATCACGATTATTTGGTCAATAATTGATATCACGATTATTTTGACGATTATTCATTGACCATTTATTGAACTTTAAAACAAATAATATTTTACCAATAAACAAGATCAATAAATGTGTTGGAGCGCACTTCCAAAACCATACTAAACATATATTAATATGATAAATAAAAATAAATTAGACCAAAATAAATGAAATCAAACATGTTGCAGTGCACTGTCACAACCTACTGAACACTCCTTAACATATAGCCAACATTTTGGTAAAACATATTCAACATATTCCACTCAGTTAAACGTTGAAGGCTGGCCAACCGTCATGGTCCAGAAGTAACAGGAAATAAATGTTGAACTACAATTTAAGACCAAATAAAAATGTTTAGGCCACCATGGCAAATGCTGGTAGGGCTGCTCATGTCATCTCTTAAAGATTGTTCGCAAGAAACACCAGCCTGTTGACATGGTCTGGTTTCAGAGATGAGCGCAGGCAGGTGACGATATTGCCACCTGTACTGAAGACCCTCTCTGAAGAGGAACTTGTGGCAGTGCTGCCACATATGACACAGGACAAAAAGAAAAGACTCTGAAGAACCCTTTCTTTGCCATTATATAAAAATAATGTTGCTACAAAAGTATAAATTAGGCTTACTAATAAGACAACTCAGATCTGAAGCTACACAGGAATCTGCAGCAACGGTGCAATAAAAAAGACAACATTAATAGAATCAAACCCATTTTTTGTTGCATTTTAAAAGTATAAAAAGTATAAAGTATAAAAAGAAATGCCTTTAAAATAGGATGCAAGCAACACTAGTTTCTGAACTGATAGACTATAATCAATTTAAACAGCACAGATCTTAATGTTTGCATTCTTATACCATTTTGTACAATAATTATCATGAATAAATTCAAACAAACTAAAACTTACAGCAGATTAATAACGGTATCTAAATTGAGTTTTTATTATATCAAAAACCTGTTGAAATGCTGCTGTTATTTTTACTGTCCCACAAAAGCGCGTCGCAGCCTCCAAGAAAGCTTCTTTCACAACTTCGCCGTCTTCGAAAGACTTCATGTGTTTCGCAAGAACACTGACTTTCAGGCCCCTCCCCTTTTGGAGCGTAGGGCAGAATTAGGAGGGAATTCCGTCTCGTTGCGTTTGTGCACTGTTTTGAAATGCCGCTCCTAAATTACCCTTCTTCGATAAAGCCACGCTCGCATTGCAGATGAGACAGATGGACTTTGAATTGGAATAGATACAAAAATAATGATCCTCCCACTTGGAGTGAAAATTATATATTTTGGGCTTTTTTGCTTCAGCCATAATTGCGGTCTTGTGTGTGTGCGGACTGTCACTCCTGTTGACCATCCATGCTGTTGACACGGACAACGTCAGCGAACTAGTGCACTGCTCACCAGCCACGCCCGGACACATGGGGTGAGGCCGGCCAATCACAAAGCTTTGATGCGTTCAAGTAAATTATTCTGGCACGGGAACATTATGTTATAGGACATTAACGATAAAACAGAATATTGTTGTTCTATTTTTAGACACATCTCACGATCGACTGGGAATCTCCCCGCGACCCTTCTTTTTAACTAGTTGCTGCTCTTGTTCTGACATCTTCGCTTGCGCTGAACACTCACAACACATGTCACTCCCACGTGGCCGAGTGGGCTTTTAGGGAGGGGCGAAAGCGCACCCAGCAAAATAATCGTATTTTGTCAATTATGCTGTTTTCATAATCGTCGCAAGCCATAATCGTAATCGCGATTAAAATACGATTAATTGCACAGCCCTATAATGAGCGTATATCACGGGTAGAATTGTAGTTACTTTTCACAAAAAGTCAGTATCCCTCCGCGTCTGAGAAAAGCTACAACCCAACTGCATTACGTCCGTTACGAAATTAACTAACTAACAAAGCTTAAGATGGAAACATGAAAGGGATAATGTGCCGCAAGGACTTATTGACCGTTGTTAAGGACGCTCACATCTGCAGAAAGAAGTCCGGTCGATTTAACTGTATACAGTTGGGCTGTGGTGGCTGTTGGTGGCTGTTGGTGGCTGTGGTGGCAGTTTGGCTGTGGTGGCTGTTGGTGGCTGTGGTGGCAGTTTGGCTGTGGTGGCAGTTTGGCTGTGGTGGCAGTTTGGCTGTGGTATAATGACCATATACAACGGCCTGTCGTGAGCTATTGCTTATGCATAAAATGGATACTCAAGTAATTAACAAAACCCCCAAAACTATAGTACAGTACTTGGGTAAATGTACCTTGTCACATCACGATTCTCACTGATTCTATTGATTTCTATGCTGTTCTGTATATGGTTTATTAGCAGGATGCCTTTGAGGTGTTGGCAGCTGAATGGTAGGGGCCCAGAGTTGGACAGGAGTCCTGGACTGTGCCAGGAATTATACATATTGTTGTGTCAGAAACTGTTCTCAAGGGGCCAACTAGTGCTGCTCCTTTGTACTTAGTATTTGCAAGTGTTTTGAATGTTTAAATGTCTGCTAACATATATTTCTGGCCACTAGGGGGGAGTGGAACAAGAACTGATGGCAACTTTTATATATTATTACCTTTTTAGGCTGACAAATTTACATTTTCTAGATTGTACTCGGTTTACTTAAACGAAACAATACAACCAAAACCATTCTTCATCACAAGTAAAAATACATTATACGTTACTTTAGGATTTGAAGTAAAAAAACGGTTCTCATCGTGTAGAATGGCCCTTTCAGGATGCTATAGTATAATAACTGATTAATTTAATTAGTAGATCACTTGTTACTGTTACAAGGTATGTATCTTGTATTTTGTAAATTGTGTAACTTGCTGCTGTTAAATACCGTCAAACTATGTGCAATATGTGCTTTGTGTGCAATATATACGCCATCTTTAATAACTGCAATATACCGGGCTGTTAAATCATAAGAACTGCTACAGGATTTGATTTGTAGATTTGATTTGTTTTTGATCTGTATTTTTGAAAATTATGTAACTTTTTTAGTTTTTATCTTTTTTTTAGCATATTGTTTATTATATTATAACTTAGTACTTTTTTTAACGCATGTAAGATATGCAACACTAAGCTGTCTGTGGCTCTTTCCTGCTGTAACGCTGCAAATGTCCCCTCTGTGGGATTAATAAAGGTATTCTGATTCTGATTATTTTTGATATGTTAACATTCAAGCAACATGCTGCTTATTTGTTTACCTTCTCTTGTACAATATTGCCTAACAAACACCACATCTTATTAACATTTGATCAAACATAACCTTTTATCGCATAATGAGCGATTAATTAAAAGTTTTGTATTTGATGAAAAATAAATAATGTCAATAATTTAAACTAATAAAATACAAGAAATGTAAAAATGACTGATGAAAAAATGATTTATAAAGAAACGTTTATTACAGTCTATTACACATGACAGGTACTATTAGAGTTCCTACATTATTTCTTTAATTTGTGTGTTTTTATTTTGTATGGTTTTTTTTCCAATCAACTCCTGCTTCGTGACGTCACGCACTTTCTCTGCTGCGCTCGCTCTCTCCCCCTCGCGCTTTCTCACTCCGCGTGAAACAAAGTGTAGTGTCCGCGAGAGCCCGTAGGAAGCGAAAAGAGAGAAACCGGAGACAGAATGGAGCTTCTGAATCCACACCAGGAGGAATAATAATAACAACAACCCACTAAAGAGAGAAATAAAGAAGACTGAAGACGGAGGAGAGAACGGAGAACACTCGCAGGAAAAACTTTTCCGGGGAAAAACTGTTACAGACTCTCACACGGCCACGTTTGAAAACATGGATACACTTTTCCCCGTATTCCTGGGACTCCTGTTTCTCTTTTCGGCTAACGTGTCCGGGCAGATACCGACAGGTAAGGACGAAAACATGAACAATAGGCTGTTAATAATGTTTTCTGTTTGTAAAGTTTGCACTATTTCCTCATTTCCTGCAACCTTGTAAGCGTATGAATCCATGACAGGTGTGTTTAGGTGCAGGAGAAAAGTTAGCCTCCGTGTTGAAAACGTACTGTCGTGTCTGTTTTGTCGCTTTGAGGATGTTTTAAATCACTCTCGGAAGCGAGACGTGCATTTTTTTAGGCGTAAAGGTGCTTTTTGTCACTGTTAAAATGAAAAATGTTCCATTGCGAGTTACATTTAAAGCCGGAGTGAGTTGCCTCTTGTTTCATTTCTGTTTGCCAAGTATGTCGGTCTCACTTGCACAAATGACTAACATTTACACTGACTTCATAGTTTGGATTGTGAACACTAATCTTAAAAACAAAGTTGCATTATTTCCAGTGTGTTCACTTATCCCGGAGTGAGGATGTTCTGTATAAAACGATTGTTTGACGTTAGCACTTCAAAGCACCAAAGGCTACAATAAGAAACATGTATTTGCACGGGGTTACGGTTGAACGGCAGTGTACAGTGGGAAACATCGTTCCTCCGTGCAGCCGCGTGACGGCGCATGAATGGAGAAAAAGTTACTGTGTGCACGGAGATCACCATCTATTAACTATAATATCACATCGTGTCACAATGAATACTTGTACAGGGTCTGTGTATTACAGTGATCTTGCATTTGATGCTGTTTTCCATCCTGTGATTACTTGAATCATTTGTTCATAATCGTATTCTTCTTTAATGCATGTTAGTGCAGTCTACTAATGTTTTTGTAAGGTGTTATTATCTAGTCTGTGATGTGTTTCAAGTGGTTGAAGAGGAACGTATATTGTATAGGATGCAATGATCGCTTGTGTTCGCAACCACGGTGAGCTTATACTCTCTGCAAACCAAACGGTCCTCTTCTGCTCCAACTTTACTTGCGATAAAACCTAATGGTTAGGGACACAGCCCGATCGCCTGTCTGATTGAATGGGTTGTATCATTGCAAGGTGTGATTGAACTGAAGTAGAGGAAAGATGGAGAGGATCAGTTACCTATTGTTCTATATACACCCCGGTTTCATCTCTTTTTACGCACGAAATCTGGGGAAATGTACGATGTGAGTTCTTGGACTATGTGCGCAATTCCATTCCTAATAGATACAGTTAAACTACATGCATACGAGTGCTTTCCCCTCGACCGTGACTTTTAACTCTCCTTTTATTCTGGGTCTTCTTGACTTCAGTTTGAGAGTGCCTCTGCTTCCCTGCTGAAAACACGTATTCACTTTGAGTCCGCGCTGCAACAACTGGTGATGCTCTCCGGGACGATGCCCCCGCAAAAGTGGGCTGAATGAACTGGAGAAAGAGAATTACCCTGTAGCTGTGTGTCGTGTCGTGGTGCAGGACGCAGTGTATGTTGTGCAGCTCTGGATGTCCGTGCATGCAAACTCTGTGTAACTGTGTCGCTGTCTGCGTGGCTGCTGCGCGCTTTATTTCCACATTCAGCAGTTGTTCGTCTCTGAAATCCAACACACACTCATGCACAGGCAGATAAAGAGAGTCTCACACAGCTGTTACAAGTCTGACCTCCACAATTATACTAACATCTTATATGGCTGTAATAAAGGACACATCAAAGCCCCGATTGAAAAGCATGAAATAACCAGAAATAGCACAAAAGTGTCGTTTTCTCTCTCAGTGTTCGCTTAGGAATGCTAATGATTTGCATAGAAATTACACATTTAATTAACGCTTCATCTGTGAACGTTGTATTGCCCACCCCACCCCTCCTCTCCCCAGCCCTGCTATACCCTCCTCTCCCCCTCCCTTGTGGCCATTTGGCCCCCTGGCTAACAAATGTGTGGAATTTCTTTGAGGCCTCTTTGGGAATCTGAGTGCTGTTAATTTGCAAGTAAATACTAGTGAGTAGATACTGCTTTACAGGGAGCGGGAGGTGGGCTTTGATCAGTGTGGAACAAGGGGGTTGAAAAACAGAACTTGCAGTTTGTTGTGTTGCAGAGAGAAAAGCGTTTATTTTAAATGCCAGGAACATTATTGTTATAGCTGCATTGAAACCACCAAGTTCCCAGGATAACATGTCCCCGATATCCCCTTTTCTGTATACACTTTGAACCTTAATTGATGGAAATTAAGAGTTTACTTTTCACTCAATTATTGTTACAAAGACCTGCAGCGCATGCTTTATTTGAAAGATCAGCACTGTTTTTTCCGTCATTGATTGACAGCATTTTTATTGATTGTTTTCAGTACATGTTGAACTGACGGGGCTGATATGGTTTATAGGTGGATCTTTAATGCAGCCAGTGTGAACTGTCACTGGGAATATGTGTGATTATTAGATCATAAGCGACGAAATGAGGGAAATCCGAGAGAACCACAGCAGGGATGTGTGTTGCTGCAGCACCAGTGGTCGTCTCTGTAAAAACAAGGACAATAGAGCACAGTGAAGGATACAAAACTGTCCGTCACTCTTTAACAAAGTCACTTTTTGTGTCTCATTTCCTCCTTTATCTTCTAGTTTCCCATTTAGAAAGTCAAACTATCAATTATGGCGTAAATCCGCCTCTCCCTTGTTTCTTCTTCTCGTGCTGTTTTGCGGCGGTTTTGTTTTTGGCCTATCGCTTCCCAAAGCCAGTGTAATAAATGTGAACGAGTCTAAATGAGTTTATGTTAATTTGACAACTTTCTAAATCCGTCTCCTCTCTGATGGAGCTGTGACACAGATTCCAGGCGTCTTTAATCTTAATGGAGTGAAATAATTGTTTTCCATTAGTGTCTCCAGACAAATTAGATGGCTGCTGCCGAACACCACATTTGAGCCTGTTTAATAATGGTAAGTTATTTTAGTATTTTCAACATTACAATCAAGTTGGTTTTAATTATAATTACTTTTCGGCGCATTTGGAAGATGAAATAAAATGGTGTGTTTTCCCCCAGTAAGGCGGGAGAAACAGAGTGATAGTGAAAGGAGGAGGAGGAGGGGGAGGAGGAGGAGGGGGAGAAAAAAAAACAAGAAAAGCAACCATTGGTTTTTGGCCGTGGGCATCTCCTCCACTCAAGAGACTGTGAAAACGGCAGGAGGGATTGTGTGTGTGTGTGTTTCTCTGTCATGTCCTGTGTGTGTGTCAACTCTTGTGTTGCTGTCACTTAAAGAGAAAGAGGGAGGCCGATGCTTTTAAGCCCTCCGGAATACAGTGGCACAAAGATGCGCATGTGAAATGTTTGCCTCTCATTTGGACTCATGTGAAAATGCCTCCTCTTTCTTCTCGTGCCATGTAAAATGGCAGCGAATCAAAGGCTGCTTTATTTATTTTTCTCTTTAAAAGTAATGCTTCAGTCCGCTGTCCTTCAGATCCGTCTTAATGTCTTCTCTCTAAATCAAATGCCACTTTGCCCAGAGCCAATCTGTTACTTCGGATTTCAATTTAGTGATAGATTGAAAAAGCTCGTCTCTCTCAAAGTACTGGCTCATATCTTCAGTCGTTTGGGGATGGAGTCTGTGCACGTGTGCAAGCGTGTGTGTGTGTAAAATGTAATTCATCTGTTGAGAGAATTCATTAGCTAATCCCTCATTAGACTCTGTGTGTGTGTGTGTGTGTGTGTGTGTGTGTGTGTGTGTGTGCATGAATGAATTGGTGCGTGTGTATTGAAAAATGGATTAGCGATACGCAGCGGCGGTGCAACCTTTCGCCTCTTGCTGTTGTCAGAGAGTTAAGAATGAGGGAGAGAGAGAACATGACATGATGGAGACAGGTTTTCAGAACATCATGCTGAGCAAAAAGCGTTAGTACTACAAGAAGATGCCTTGGTAGTCGCAAGAAACATTTCCAACAAATACTGTGCAAGTTTCAAGCACATATTTCAGAGTTTGGCAAGTAACATTTTAATCAGTGCACATATCCAATAGCTATCTCTACGGTGATTACATTATTAATCAACCCGCACAAACCTTAATGCATTATGTCATTGCTGCTTGCCACAGATGTCATCTGGTTGGCATTTTTTCAATTTCTTTTTCAAACAGGTGGAGTGAGATGCAGCAAATGATATATCTGGATTAGCCTTTAGAAACGGGTACATGTTGGGTGTAAATCATCAGTCAGTGAGGAGGAAATGAACCGAGAAAGTGTAAAAGTCCCGTTGGAAATGAAGGAAGGCAGCACGTCCAAAACAAATCCCAATCCCTGAAATATCACATCCCTGATGAATGATGGTATTAGTCCAGTATCATCAATCTCTGCTCTGCCCTGTTTGGCTCTGGTCACAGCTGTCTGTACAAGGGGGCATAGAAACACCCTACTGCCTCACACACACACACACACACACTAATACACACACACACTTGCACACATGGCTGGCTAATGACAGATTAAGTAATCAACACTCTCAGTTGATTAATTACATTACAGTGGAGACACACTCTCTTTCGCTCACACTCACACAGATGTGAGCAGCATCAGTACCAGTTGTGTAGTCTAGTGTGTGGATAATGATATATATATATATATATGATGTCTGTGTGTGTGTCCAAGTGTTGAAGAGATGAGAGGATTGGAAGCAGCTGATGACAGGCCTGGGAAAACTATAATTGTCTGGGTTACCATGAGGTGAAGCAGAGGGTCGAGGTTGATCAAAGGTTACAGTGGGTGTCAGGAAACACGTGCAAGTCAACATACTGTCCCAAATACTCTAGATTTGTGCGTGGTATGTCAAATGGGAGTTTTCTTCAATTATGCATGATTTCTGAAGCTGTTGGTCATTTGGTCGCTGCTGGTTCTTTCTTAAACTACCTGAATGTTGTCCATACTCTCAACAAGCTGTACTTTAACCTCTAGGAGAAAGCCAAGCTGAGCAATTACACTTTGTTTTGTGCCTGCATGTACTTATGTGTTTGAGGAGCCTCATGTCGGGGCCTCCTCAGCTTTACGTCTAGGCTATGCTTTTAACTAGGGATGCTCCGATTGCCAATTTTGGGGTCGATCGCCGGAATCAGTATCGGCCGATACCGATTGAGTGGGCGGGGCGACCTTCCATTTAAAGTGATGTTTAAAACTCAGCTAATGGGGCTCATTCACTGGAGCTTCCACAAACAACAACCAACATAATTATTACATTCAAATGAAGTACATTATTCAGGTTTGCATTAACTTTGGAGAGTAACACGGGAGAAAAGAGCGGAAGCCCTCTCTCCCCCTCTCTCCCCCTCTCTCTCTCTCTCCTCACAGCCTGTCAGTATCGTCTCATGCAGCTCGCTGATCCAGTAATGAGTGACCCGACAGTGAAGAATACATATATGTATAACTAGTTTAGCTAGTTCCTGAGGTAGATACAATAGCTCAGTGTTTTGTTAGGTCTAACTCTTAGTGTTTTGCTCCGCTCACCGGTCCGTCACAGCGGGTGGAGCTGCAGGATTTCTGCATACCGCTATTTTATTGTCATTTTCGGACACCTTAAAATACTGCCAGACCGGTGAAGCCATTTTGGCGAGCTTCTTTTGCCGCACACAGAGAAAAGTGTCATGTATTTTACGTCATCATTTTACGTCATGCGATCGGCTCTCTCGGCGGCCGATCGATCGGAGCATCCCTACTTTTAACCTTCAACTAATAACTAATTTATATAAAAGACAACGTGAGACGCAAAATTAAGATTTAAACCAGAAACTGTCTGTTGAGAATAATCCAATACGGAAAGAAGAGGTAAGAAAAAGCTTGTTTTCAGCTTTTGCTACTAGACAGCTTTAACTAACTTAGCGCTATGGACTCTCTGTGGATTGGTCCCACAAGAAGTATTGATGTTCAAAAACCTCCTTATAAAAAAGGCAAAACAGTGCAGATAAGGAAAAGGTTATACCTGACTAAAGCTGCTACAGTTAGTCGATTTTCTGTTAGTGTATTGGTACAAAGGAATTCGTTGTTTAAGCAAAATGCCAAATGTTCTCTAATTCCAACGTCGCAATTGTGAGGATTTTCTTCTCCTCTCTTTCAATTTCTCTATTTGTGTTTTGAATGATGGTGGATTGTTTATATTTTGGTCCTGATTTAAAAAAGAAAGTAAGTTGCTGCCCTAAAACTGAGAGGGTATAGTGTGGATCTTTCACATCTAAAGAGACACTGCTTTTCTCTTGTATGTGACTTTACACTGTGCATGCTTTCCAATCTAATTCTGTCTTGTTATTATTCTCTGCTTCTTTGCTTCTGTTGGACCCAGCTCACATGGGGCGCGCTGAGAAGGGTGAGTTATGAGTGGCCAGCCAAGAGCTGAGCTTTATCCGTCATAGTCATCATCATCATCGTCATCATAGTCTCGAGTGTCGTCATCGTTAGCCAACAAACTTTACCTTAGCTGTCACTTTCAGTTTTCAATCTGTAGACATCTGTTATTGTGATTGAACTCATTTTCTCATCCCATTTTGAATCTGATGTATCTTTACTAACCATCCCATTTGGACTCATTTATAGTCGTTAATGCACCTATGAGAAATCTCACCTTTACCCAAAACACCATCACACGGCTTTTAAAGTACTACTACACCTTATTAAGATAGTATGAAATTGCAGTATGCAGTGATATTTTTCTAAAATGTCATATTAGTTCCGGTGCTTCATGGAAATGTGCCTATTTGGCCCCTGGGAATAATCTCTACAACGACAACCTTGATTTATTAGATGAACTATTTGAAGTGCTCTTGCTGTGGTTTGTCTTAGAGACTCTGCTAACGTGTGTGTCTGTTAATCTATGTGCCATGTGTGTGTGTGAGTCTCCCCTGCTGTGTGCGTCTGTCTCTGTCTGTCTCTGTGTAGTTAGACAGCTGTCGGGAGGTTTGAAGTTTCCAGGTGCTGTTTGTTTATCTGAGCCCAGTCTTTAATAAAAGGAGCGCTGAGTCACTTTGTTCCTGCAGTAGCCGACCACACCTCTCCATTTATTCTTCTTCTTCTACTTCTACTCCTTTTTGTCTTCATTTTATTTCTTCTTCTTCATCTTCTTCTTGTTCTTCTCCTTCCCAATGTCCAACAACTTCACATCCTCTCCCTCTGTCTCACACATATCTTCTATCTTCCCTCCCCCTCAGTCTATCTCTCTGTCTCTGTCTCTGTCTCTCACACACACACACACACACACACACACACACACACACACACACACACACACACACACACACACACACACACACACACACACACACACACACACACACACACACACACACACACACACAGCGGATGGTTGTTAATGAGGGAGTTGTTTTTTTGTTGTGGAAGTGACAGGTTAGTAAAATCCGCTGCAGATATTTCACACTGCAGACGTACAGAGAGATCGCTGTGCATCTGTGGAGTTGTGTCTCCCACAAGGCTTTGCTGTGACAAAATCAAAGCAAATATGATCTTTTTTGTGTTACAAAAATCAAAGGCAATACAAATCCACAGCGGAGGTCACATTCTGGTTAATCCTTAAAAATAAAAAACACAACTAAGCTGTGTTCCTTTTTTACATTTTTATTTTGTACGTGTATGGGAGTCACATATAGGATTTGGAGTGCTATGCTCCAGAACACAAATTATTAAATGCTAAAATAATAGAGACCTAATAAAAACCCAGCGAGGCAGAAATACTGTCGGTTCACATTAAGAAGGACAGGTTCCTGAAATAGGTTTATTGCCAGGATCTGCATTGGCTTCAAAAATCTCAGTAGATTACACTCAATTTAGGCCCCGTCCACACGGAGACGATATCCGTTGAATCCGCTAACGTTCTCTATCGTATAGACGCGGATTCCGAGCCCGAACCCTTTGATTACGGCTCCCAAAGTGGGTAGGTCTGAGGACGAAACATTTGCGGCTCCGTGTGTACGCCCTAGGGCTGTTCCGAATACCATTTTTCGGGCTCCGGATATTCGGTAGTAATCAACAGGGAATATTCTAATATTCGGTGCGGAGAGATCTTTTTTTTTTTTTTAATAAAACAATTTAAAAAAAAAAAAGTTCATAACACGCTCCGAGACACCTGACAACACGCTGTTAAGCAGAAGCGCAGAAAGAGCATACTATTACGATTTATATTTATTTATTGTCTCAGTACTCGCATACATTACAACTAAATGTGTCCTCTGCGTTTAACCCAGCCGCAGTGCAGCGCCCGGGGACTAAATCTGGTTCCAAATTCCGTCTATAACGTTTTACAACCTGAAGATACAAAACACATATTTCTGTTATAACAACAATACTTTTAATAACATAGCCGTAACAGTAAACAGTATTTAAATAAATGAAGAACGAAAAATAAATGAACGAACTGTATGCCAATAATTGCCTTAGCGCCAGATGTTCCACATTGCTCCTATTATTTTCACTATTCGGATAAAATTGAAAAACTAATATAAAAAAACAATTCGGTTGCTTGCTTGCAACTATTTTCCAAGCAAAGTAAGTGCACAATTTTATCATGTGTAACGTTACTGTTTAAACGGCGGATAAAGCAGTTTTACAGTTTATTTTAGTGTAATTCTAAAAGGACTTGGTTTACTGGCTGTGGATTAACTCAATATCTTAATTTGTTTTGTGTTTTATTTGGACCTAATCAAACAACTTCAATTAAAAGAAAAAGATAGTGTGAATCTACACAAATTGGCTAACAATACTTAATATTTACATGAACATACAATTGTGAAGTTTCATTCAAGGAACCTTATATGAAGAAGTCATCTCTAAGCTCATCCAAGTGTTGGCAGGAACCCTTGCATTTAATCTTATTCAAAAACCCTGCCATTGTCCTGCATGTTTAGCCAATGTTTGATCTTTCTGGGCTGAAGCCAAGCCTCCAGGAGTGCTAGGGGAACGGTGACTCAGCTGGCCAAAGTTTAACTCATTGCTCTCACCTAAAATCTTTTTGTCTCACTGTTTCTTTTGTACAACCAAATACCTAAAGATACATTGCCCAAAAATAATCTTGAAAGCTTTTCAGTGTCCTAAGGCTATTTCTCTCCCATTCAAAGCTCTTTAAGAGACACTTTAGACAAATTAAGATAAGAAAGTGCCTTTAAAAGTGACAGGCATCAGAATTAGTTCAAAATGGAGACAAAAGCTATTTTTTTTACTCTACTTAAGGCAATGGGTTTTGTCTGTTTGTTGACTAAATGTGACAACAAAGCGTGTGTGTGCGTATGAAGGAGTGAGCCTCTTCATGTTAGCCTTCAGGTGGATTGGGCTTATAGACATGGCCACAGGGCTCTATGTGTGTCTGTGTGTGTGTGTGTAGCTAAAGGCAGTGGCTGAAGTGGTTTCCATTAGTCCAGTTAAGACGACATCTGTCATAAAGCTGCACACACACACACACACACACACACACACACACACACACACACACACACACACACACACACACACACACACACACACACACACACACACACACACACACACACACACACACACACACACAGAAAAGTAGCCATAAGCAATCTCTGTGCAGTACACCATAGCATCTCATTAGCGTCTCATTCCTGATCTCTGTGTGTAGTCTAATGATAAAATCCCGAGGACATTCTGCTTCAGCCACTTTCAGCCGTACTGCTACGTCCAGATATCTAAGAGGACTATTTTTACAGTTCTTACTCCTTTCCAATCACTCTTTAAGCTGATTTCAGTTAGAGAGCAGTAGAAAGCTTTCCAGATATATAAACCCTCCTACTATGTGTGTGTGTGTGTGTGTGTGTGTGTGTGTGTGTGTGTGTGTGTGTGTGTGTGTGTGTGTGTGTGTGTGTGTGTGTGTGTGTGTGTGTGTGTGTGTGTGTGTGTGGTGTGTGTGTGTGTGTGTGTGTGTGTGTGTGTGTGTGTGTGTGTGTGAATCAGGCTCACAGAGAGATGACCAGTCCATTAAGATTATCATCTCCATCCCTGACCGCGTATCCTCACCACGATGCTGCTCAGTGGAGATTTAAATCTTCTAGCCGATATCCCAGAGCCATTTTTTTGCCTCTAGATTATGTCTGTTGGCCATCGTTTGGTCTGTCTGCCAGCCAGCCCGTGTGTGTGTGTGTGTGTCCCTCCTGTCTGAGATGACTGCAGACACATGGTCAGCCTGACAGCATTTGCGTGTACGCACCTCCAGTCAATCACTCTAACAGACAGGCTGCGTGGGAGTTTGGAGACGGACATTTCAATGTTGAACATCTGTCTGTCAGTTTCTCCGTTGGTCCTCCGCAGCTTTGATTTCTCAAACACTTCCAGTGATAAAAATCATATTCAAAGTTCAGATCTGCATGTTTAACACTAAGGGAAAGCAAATGTATCGTTTAATGACTGTCACCTCCAAAACAAGCCCTGTTTGTACGAGTCAAATATGAACTGATGTAGATAATATTACCTTTAGCTGTCTTTTAAAATACATTTTGCACAAAACAACTGGTGTGCAGTAGATTTGAATGCCCATTTCTCCCTTTAGAGCCATACTTAAAAGGTAATGTCTTCATGGCCAATATGGACTGGATTCAATGAAATCCGTAATAGAAAGCCTTACGAAACTGTCCTACTGCCTTATACTCACTTCACTGATGGCTCCCACAAGATTGCTGACATCCTCGTGGATTCATCTTCTTATTATACACACATGCATTTCCAAACATGTGGACTACCTATGTTGTAAATGTATTATCTTTTCGATTTACATACGGCATCTATTGCACGTCTGTCCGTCCTGGGAGAGGGATCCCTCCTCTGTTGCTCTCACTGAGGTTTCTCCCATGTTTCCCTTTAAACTGTGGGTTTTCTCCGGAAGTTTTTCCTTGTACGATGTGAGGGTCTAAGGACGGAGGGTGTCGTATTGTCATACTGATATTCTGTACACACTGTGAAGTCCACTGAGACAAATGTAACATTTGTGATATTGGGCTATATAAATAAACATTGATTGATTGATACTCCTGAATGGGCCTTTGCAACTGAATATGCGTCTGAAGCGTTCAGATTTATTTCCATGCATTCATCGACTAAACAATCGTGTTTCCATGGTTTCTATACATTTTAGGCTCAGGACACCTACTGAGATCGTATATCCCCATGTCACCCTTGTTGTTAAGCAAGCAGCACTGAATAAGTGTTTTTCTAAACAGTGTGTCCTTTCCAATAAGATAGGATAAGAAGGCATTGCAGGGAAATTCCCAACGGACACACAGCTGCAAAGCCACATGTGAACCAAGGAAAACACCGACATTGGACATTTTCCTAAGGGAGGTAGCC